GAAGGCTTTCTATATGCATTTGTCAGATACATAGAATCAAACATCAACATATCACCAAAACACAAATAATCTGTTCGAGATCTACTGTCTGCCCAAAACAAATTATTTAATCGATTTTCTTCATCCACATCATATTTATAATAAAACATTGGATGCTCTTCTGCTTTATCACATAAGTAAACTAAAACACCTTCTGCATCACCATTGACAACTTGCGCTCTACACACAGTCCCAAAATGGTTGTACCTGTCCTTTTGTATGAACCCAACATTCTCATAGTCACCTGCTTGTTGTGCAACAAAGTCCATAATATGACTTGTCCTCATATCAATGTAATGCATTGCATAGCCTTGTGCCTTGTCGGTACTCATAACATTCCTATGTGAGTGAAGAAATTGAACACCAAGAGGCCCTACGCTGTTTGAAAATTTCATTCACTTTATATTTTAAAGTACTCCGATTGTATTTGATACGGAAAAAAGTATGACAACCAACCCTAGTTAATTATTTTGGTTCTCTTTTACGTTCTTCAACCTCAAGGTATTTAGATTATCTATGTCATTCTTTTGAGCAAACCCACTTCCTAGGTATGACCATATTACTCTTGTCTTTATACAACTAATCCCTTTGAATACTAAAGCCTTTCACCTTAGCATACGAATTATAAAATCTTTCTCTATTTCATCTTAATCAAATGTTATTTCAAACACATCTTTTTCTATTAATTCATCTAGACGCTTAATGTCTCTTTTCAGTTAGGAGATCATTATAATTGATGATATCATCTTCATTACACTTACCATCATTAGCATCATCATCATGATCTAATTCATATATAATGTTATTCTTATTTTGCTCGATGTTGTCTTCCATCTGCAATAAGTACAAGCAAATTAATTAGGAAATAACAAGTAAAGATGGTAAGTAGAATACTAAGTGATAAAATGGTAAGTGGTAAGTTCAAGCACAAAGAGTTGTAAGTAAGATGAGATCGAATGGTAAGTATTGTGTTTTTGAATGGTAATTAAACTCTATTTACTATTCAATGAGTCCCTACTTACGATTTTATTATACTTTGCTTAGTACACAATTAAATACCACTTACTACTTAATAACATTCTATTAGACTTTAATTATTACTTAATGAGTTTTTACTTACTGTGTGAGTGATTTTCTGACCACACTGCCCGCTTAGTAACCAGCTGGAGAGCACCGACAAAATAGATGGCACCTGGTTGACCTGCAACAGAAAGAGAAGATTCCGGCGGTGGTTCGTCCACCCGGGGGCACTCCGACGATCAAGTCAGTATATCTCTCAAAGATAAATCAAGTACTAAACTCACAAGGTTGAGTATCAAAAGCATACCTTAGACCCATGGGGATGCTTCTCTTTTATAGCCAACATAAACCTAGTCCCAATAGAAGCCTAACTTCTATGGACTTAGGATTACTGCTAATCTTGGACTTCCAATAAGATTAGGATAAACTCTCCAAGAGTCTTATCTTAATACAAACTGAAGTCTTCTCTCATCCTAGGACTCTTGCCCTCATCCGCTTATCTCGGATTCCGCTATCTTCGGAGGTAACCTCGGCCTATCCGAGATGACCTCGGCATAATAACCAGGACACGTGGCACCTCGGCTGACACATCGGCGTCACCTTGGCCACGTGTCGGTACTCAGAAAATATATCCCCACAACTGCCTCCTAGGTTCTATTACCTCAGCATTCTGAGGTGATGGAACCTACACTATTCGTTCATCTGTGCCCCTCTGTCCGAGATCAAACTCGCCGACCTTAAAGTTCCTTGGACTTTACTGTCCACTTCTATCAAGTATCAAGCTTCATGCTTCATGCTTTCCAAGCTGCTCGAGATCACACCTCCTAGCCGAGGTTCTTGTTACCTCCTAGCCGAGGTTCCTGCTCCATTAATTCGTAAACTCTAAGAGCTTTGCAACTGCTCTACTCACATTCTTCGGTGGGTTCCCGACTTCCAGTCATCTATTTGACTCCGGCGATCTTCATATCGGCGTTCATTTCTCTTGGTAGGTTCATAAACTCTTTTATTAAGCTCAATCTTTCATAACTCTTCTGAATCCGTTTACTTGCCCTCTGTTGTCTTCTATTTTCGTCTGTTTTCAAGTTTTGAATTGTTTGAACGCCTGGCACTGTTCTTGCCATATCCGCTTTCTGTTGCTAGCATCACGTCTGGGTCATTACTTTCTTGTTCTTCACATACTTACTTAGTGCCTGTGCACTTGGCTTTATTCTTGAACTTTGTCGTCTTCTTGACTCTGATTTTTCTCTTTTTTCATTCAATCCTCTAGCTTTTTCTCTTTCTAACTCTTTTGCTTACATCTGTCATTGTTCCAAGCTTTCAAGCTCTGCAACTGTTTTCGTTCCTCTCCTCCAGTGAGGCTTACGTCATTCTGTCATTTTCGCATCCGTCGTTAGACTTCAACAATTCTCATTACGGCTTCCCTCTTTCTGGTAAGCCACTGTTCCTCCTGGTTTTATTTCTTGTTGCTTTCCAAGAATCTCTGCTTCATTGTTAATCACCATTGTTGTTTTACCCGTTGTTCCAAATCATCTTCCTGAATACACATTGGTCACACATCTATTGATTTCTGCTAGGGCTAGGCATAGGGTCATCCGACCCGCCCATACCGCCCTACCCGAATCGAACCGCACGCATGTGGGCGGTTTCGCAAACACATTAGGGTAGGGTGCGGTTTGGATTTTATATGAATTTCGGGTTGCGGGCGGGTTGCAGGTTTGAACCGCACCCGCCCAACCCGCCCGCATTTAATTTAATTTAATTTTTTTTTTCTTCCAAACCAAATCTAACCGTCCATCTTTTCTTTGACTCACCAACTCACTCACTCATATAACAAAACAAAAGAAAAAAAAAAACCCTAATATCTAATCGGCTTCTCCTCCTCAATCACTCACTCTCTCTCTGAGTCTCATCTCACTCTCTTTCTCACTCTCTTCTCCTCGGTTCTGTAGTGTGCACACACCGATCGATCACTCTCCTTGTCAGCCGATCTACTTCATTCATTCACAGGTGAACTCTATTTCTCTCAATCTCTGTCTCTCTCTCTCTCCCGATCATTGATTTGTTGTGGATGAACAATAGAACTGATTTTTTTCATCTCCGACTCCGATCTACTTCACAGGTGATCTCGCAGGTAATCTCTGATTTTTTTTATCATCACACAGCCGATCTACTTCAAAGGTGAGCTCTCTCTCTCAATCTCTCTCTCTCTCTCTCTCTCTCTCTCGATCGTGGATGAACAACAGAAAAGGAACAAATTTTTTTCATCTATGATTTTTTTTCATCTCCGATCTACTCTTCGCAGGTGATCTCTGATTTTTTTCATCATCGCACAACCGATTTTTTTCATTGCACAGCCGATCTACTTCACATCACAGGTGATATCTCATCTCTGATTTTTGGTGGACGAACTGATTTGATTTTTTGTGGACCAAAACAAATCTGATTTTTGTTGTGGACCAACAGATGTGATTTTAATTGTGCCTTACTTGAATCTGTTTTGATCTTAGTTTATTAATTTTTGGAATTCAGATTATTTAATTTTTGGAATCTGTTTGTTTTATTTAAATCTATTGAATCTGTTTGTTTTTGAAATTCAATTGAATCTGTTTGTTTTATTTAATTTTTGGAATTTAAATTATTTAATTGAATCTGTTTGTTTGAATGTGTTTAATTTTTGATTAATTTTTGTTTTTGTTTTTGTGTTTAATTTCTGTTTGAATCTGATTATTTAATTATTTAATTCTGTTTGAGTCAGCCATATAATTTCTGTTTGAGTCAGCCATATAATTTTTATTTAATTTTTGGAATTCAGATTATTTAATTCAGATTATGTAATCTGTCTGTGTCTTAGTTGAATTTGTTTCTTTTATTTAATCAATCAGTAGAATCTGTTTATTTAATGGAGGATAGGATAGTATTTTTGTAACCCCCTAGTTTGTAAAATTGATTATAGAATAATCTATTTGTTCTATCTGTTTATTTAATCTGTCTGTAAAATTGATTCTGTGATTGTATTTTTGTAATTCAGTTTAAATGGAGGATAGTGTTCAATCTCCCGCAATCAGTCTTGTACCTCCGGAATCCTCTAATTCTCAAATGAATCCTCTCTTAGTCGAACCCAAACCTGAACTTGAACCTAAGCCTCCTAGACCCCCAAAGAGAAAAAGTGAGGGTAGAGGGGGGAGAACACCATCCACAGTTTGGGATCATTTTGACAAAGTTGTAGGGACCGATGGGAAGCGTAGAGCCGTATGTAAATATTGTAAGAAAGAGTATATGGCTGACTCTAGACTTCATGGGACTAGCAATTTGAGGAGTCATACACCAAATTGTAAAGAATATCCAAATAGGGATACAGATGGTCAACAAACACTAAATCTTAAACCGAAACAAAATGAAGAGGGTGTTGAGGTTGTAGCAACAATTTTTAATTTTGATACTTGTAAAAGGGCTCTTGCGGAGATGGTGGTCATCGATGAGTTGCCATTTAGATTTGTGGAGGGTGTTGGGTTTAGGAGATTTTGTAATGTCATGCAACCCAAATTCACACCAATTCCCTCTCGTCAAACCATATCTAGAGAAGTGCTCAACATATTCAAGAATGAAAGGGATAAGTTAAAGAAAGCCATGAAGGATCGTAGAATTTGTTTTACTACGAATACTTGGACATCTATTCAGAATTTGTGTTACATGTGTTTGATTGCTCATTTCATTGATGATAACTGGAAACTTCAAAAAAGAATCATAAATTTTCAACAAGTTGAGGATCACAAAGGAGAAACATTGGGTCAAAAAATTGAGTCGTGTTTTATTGAGTGGAACATTGATAGCATATTCACCTTAACAGTTGATAATGCTAGTTCTAATAATCTTACCATTCAATATTTGAAACGATAACCAAAGATTGGAAGGGGACTATTTTGCAACATGAGTTTATTCATATGCGTTGTTGTGCACATATTCTTAATCTCGTTGTGAGTGATGGGTTGAAAGAAATGGACGATTCTACTGCCAACATTAGACTTGCTTTGAGATATGTGAGGTCTTCTCCTCATAGGCATGATGTTTTTAAGAAGTGTGCGGCCACACTCAAACTTGATTTACAAGCTCTTGTATGCCTAGATGTACCAACTAGGTGGAACTCTACCTATTTGATGTTAGAGGCCGCCGAAAAGTATGAGAAGGCTTTTAATCGATTGAAGTTTGTGGATTCCAACTTTGAACCTTATTTCATTGATGTTGATGGTGGCATAAGAAGAAGTCCGAATGAGTTGGATTGGAAAAAGTGTAGAATTTTTTTGAGGTTTTTAAAATTATTTTATGTTGCAACCAAGAAATTTTCGGGGTTTCTCTTTGTTACTTCCAATGCTTTTTACAAAGAGATGTTTGTTATTGAAAGCAAAATTAACCAATTAATTTTGGAGGAGGATGATACTTTGAGCTCAATGGCAAAGACTATGAAGCTAAAGTTTAGCAAGTATTGGGGGGATGGAAGTAAAATCAATTTGTTGTTGTATGTTGCGGTGGTTCTTGATCCTACCAAAAAAATGACATATTTGGAGTTTTGTTTTTCCAATTTGTTTCTTGGAGATAATAGGAAGGTGGAAGAGATGGTAGACAAGGTTAAGAGTTGCTTGAGTCGTTTGTATAGCCATTATGTTACACTTTATCCTTCACATGAGAAACTTCCAAGTGTGAGTGAAGTTGTGAATATGGTGGAAGATGATGATGATGATGATCCCTATTCTTTAGTTGACTCCCAATTTAGTTCCTATTTGGAGGGGCGATGCACTAGTGGATCTAAGTCGGAATTGGAACAATATTTATCCGAGGTTGAACATTTTGCAAAGAATCAAACATTTGAGATTTTGGATTATTGGAAGGTGAATGCAACCAAATATAGGGTGTTATCACAACTTGCTAGGGATGTGTTGGCCATGCCTATTTCTACCGTTGCATCGGAGTCGGCTTTTAGTACGGGAGGGCGTATTCTTGACCCATTTCGTAGTTCACTCTCACCTTCTATGGTTGAAGCTCTTGTATGTACTCAAAATTGGCTTCGAAGCAACCTTCCAATTTCTCTTCGAAAAGCGATGGATGATGTGGAAGAATTTGAGCAATATGACTCGGGTAAATGATAATTTATTTATCTTTATTTTAATTTGTATTATTATTCATTTTCTAATGTAAGTTTTATTAATCTTCTCTTGTTGACTTCTAATTAGGTACTTTGGAATCAAGCTCATCTTCAACTTCAACCTATAATGTTGATGCTATAATTGATGTCTAATATCCATTTGTTCAATGGTAATTTTTCATATACTCAACACATTTTCTTACTATATTGAGATGCAATATATAGACATTTGTTTATTTTTTCATTTCTTACTATTTATAATTGTAGATTAAAGTTTATATTTTTTCAATTTGTTTGTGTAGGGTTCATCAACCAAATGCATGGAATTAGAATTGGAATTTGTTAAAGTTGAATTCGATGTGATTCATGATGATGAAGTTTGATATTTTAGAAGTGTTTCAATTTTATTTCATGGGTTTGTATTGAATGAAGTTTAAGTTTGACAATATTTTTTTTTTTTTTAATTGCGTTTTGGTTTTGGATGAATGTAACTTAATGCATTTTTATTTTTATTTTTGGCATTTTGGATGAATGTAAGCTAATGAAGAATTATTCTTTTTTTTTTTTTTTTTGGGTTAGGAAGGATGAATGTTTAATTTTTAATGTAGGATTTTCTTATTTGGATTATGAATGATGAATGTAGGATAGGATGAATGCAAGTTAATGATAGAATGTAGATTTTGAATGATTTGTTTAGGTTATGAATTGAATTTGTTGTGTTTTTTATTTTATAAGTTTTTTTTATAAGTTTTAGTTCATTAATTATTAATGTTGGAGCATTTTAGAAAATATGAGAAAAAAGGTTCAAAATAAAGATTGACAAAATGGGAGAAAAAAAAGGTTTAAAAATAATTTTTTGGAAAAAAAGTTCAATCCGCAACCGCCCGCACACCCGCGAACCCTATCCTCACAAACCGCAAACCGCATTGCGGGCGGTTGCGGGTTGATTTTTCCCCAAACCGCATAAATGCGGGCGGGTCCAAACTGAACCGCAAACCGTCCTAAACCGAACCGCGGACACCCCTAATTTCTGCCACTGTTCTTGGCTTGATACACTTGTGCAATCTTTTTGTCTTGATTTCCTGATAGCTTCATCACCATTCCTGATTACGAATTACATTCTTGTTTTTGTTTTCTGTGTCTTTTTCCAGATTCTTGCTTTCAATCCTTGCCTTCAAACTCCGAGGTGCCAATCGCCAAGAAGAGCTTTTGATCAAACTCTTCGGGAGATCAATGTTAAGCTCGAGGCCGAGAAGGCTGCTGAGAAGTCTTCCCAACTATCTTCTATATCCTGCCATTGATGCTGAGTAGTTTTGTTTCCTTGTTTTACTCCTTGTACCTTGTACTTTGTCCTTCTTTGTATGCTTTTAATCCGGCCGACGAGCCATTTTTGTAGTCTGAATAATTTATTTTTCAATATTCAGGCCGAAGTGCCTTCTTTCTTCTTTAAATGCATTTCTCTAATTTCTTCTTTGAATGAATGTCTTCTTTTTTCTGTTCTTGTATGATTCTACACTTAGAATAATTTACATGTCTTCAAAGTACGCCTTGACTGTGCAATATCTTCGGGTAAAATACTTCTGTCACAACTTCTAATCTTGCTCATCTCGGCCTTGTCCTAACACTTGAAAATATTGTAACAAATATTTTCACAAGTGTTGCTTAGGACTTGTCACTTTCTCAATGTCTTCTATCAAGACTTCAGTTTTCCATATTTCAAGTTTTGACAACCTGGTAGTCTTGGCAAGTACGTAGATATTGCTTGAGCTTGACTTTAACTTGTAAATTTTTCTCAAAATTTCAACAAGTGTTAAACCATCTTCCTTTCGATACGACATCGGTTTAACTTCAACTTGTAAATTCACACAGAATTTCAACAAGTGTTAAATATCATCTCGGTTTAACTTCAACTTGTAAATTCACAAAGAATTTCAACAAGTGTTAAATATGACCTCGGTTTAACTTCAACTTGTACATTCACACAGAATTTCAACAAGTGTTAAACATCACATCAGTTTAACTTCAACTTGTAAATTCACACAGAATTTCAACAAGTGTTAAACATCATCTCAGTTTAACTTCAACTTGTAAATTCACAAAGAATTTCAACAAGTGTTAAATATGGCCTCTGTTTAACTTCAACTTGTAAATTCACACAGAATTTCAATAAGAGTTAAACATCGTCTCGGTTTAATTTCAACTTGTAAATTCACACAGAATTTCAACAAGTGTTAAACATCATCTCGGTTTAACTTCAACTTGTAAATTCACACAGAATTTCAACAAGTGTTAAACAATGATTTCAGTTTAACTTCAAACTTGTAAATTGTTCACAAATTTCAACAAGTGTTAAACAATGATCTCAGTTTAACTTCAACTTGTAAATTGTCCACAAATTTCAACAAGTGTTAAACAATGATTTCGGTTTAACTTCAACTTGTAAATTCACACAGAATTTCAACAAGTGAAGATAAACAATAATCTCGGCTTAACTTCAACTTGTAAATTGCTATAAATTTCAACAAGCGTTAAGCATTATTTCGGTTTAACTTCAACTTGTAAATTCACACAGAATTTCAACAGATGGATGCGGATTGATTTTCTCCAATCCGCCAATCTGGCGGACGGATGGCGGATTGGAGGTTTCGTGGCCGCAACCGACCCGCGCCCACCCCTATAAAAGACTAGTTAAAAATTTTGACTACGTTTGATTTGAATTTTCAAAATGATTTTTGAGAGCCTAAAATCAAAAATTTATTTGTTTATCTCCTTTTCCAAAACTATTCTCAAAATTATTTCAAATTTTTCTCTATTTACAAAATTATTTCAAACATATTCCAAATTTATCTCTATTCCTAAAGCTATTTCAAATCTATTCTAAATTTATTTCTATTACCAAAGCTAAATTAATTGAATCGATATCTATGTTGAAGTATGTGAAAATATCATATTTTCAAGTTCATCAAAAAAAAAAAAAATGCTTCACAAAAAAAAAAGAACATCAAATTTTTTTGGATGAAAACTGAATTTTTTTTGTGTATATTTGTTAGTATGTAGTGATTTTTTAATATATTTTTTTATAAATTTTGTATATTTTAAGTGTATTTAGATTGAGTGGATCTAAAATTGAAAAATATTGATTAAAATATTTAAAGAGTTCACTACAAACAATAAAATATGAATTGAAACTAAAAACTTATTTTTGAAAAACTCCAAAAGTAAAAAAAATTGACTATAATACAAAAAAATACATTTAGAATAGGTGTATCTAAAAAGTATATGTAGATTATGTGAACCTAAAAATAAAAAATATAAAAAAATACTAAATATAACAAAACACAAAAAACAAAAAATTCAAAAACCCAAAAATCCAAAAATTAGTTTTGAAATCTCAAAACCAAATAAGGTTGTCAACTCTTTTAGAAAATTTATCTTTCAAAATTGATTCTAAAAATTAAACCAAACGTCCCTTTATTTTTTGAAAAATTACCATCTGTACTTTCAAAAACAATATTACACAGACATGAAATGTTTAAGAGTTTCATTATTAATATTGGTAAAATTTACTAGAGATTTGTAATGTATTTTTATGACTTCAACTAATATGCTATTTCCCTTTTATTTTTTCGATTATTTCTATTAAATAAAAAAATATTGACAATAGAGTATTTATAATTTCCAGAATCACAAGAAGTACTTCATATTTTAAATAAAAATCAGAATATTTATTTGCAATTTATCTTAAAATCCACATTATCATATTTTAATAATAAGTCTTCTTAATCATCTAGAGTGGGTTTCACATTTTTTTTTTTAATTAATGTGAATTAAAATTTAAAAAGACCATTCCACCTTCATCATCATCATCCAGCCATCCCTCTTCTAGCAAACCCTATCTCTATCTAATAAACCCTAACTTTATCTACTAAATCCTGCAAACTCTAACTCTATCTAGCCCTCACCTTAACCAGTCACCCTAACTCTATTCTCGATGTTCATCGTTGTATACTCTTCCATCCCCAACCATCATCACAGCCTCTTTTCCTATCTCAGACCGTCGTCATTGTTTCTTCTTCCATCTCTGACCATCACCCTTTCCCTTCTCAGACCATTGCCACCGCCATCGTCTCCTCTCCTATCCCCATACATCTTAAAATCCATATTATCAAATTGGGTAGTAAGTAAAGTGTGATGAACTAATAAATGGAAGCTAATTGAGTAGTAAGTGGAGTCCAGTAAAGTAATAAGTGAAAGTTCATTGAGTAGTAAATGAAATCTAGTGAAGGCTTTCTATATGCATTTGTCAGATACATAGAATCAAACATCAACATATCACCAAAACACAAATAATCTGTTCGAGATCTACTGTCTGCCCAAAACAAATTATTTAATCGATTTTCTTCATCCACATCATATTTATAATAAAACATTGGATGCTCTTCTGCTTTATCACATAAGTAAACTAAAACACCTTCTGCATCACCATTGACAACTTGCGCTCTACACACAGTCCCAAAATGGTTGTACCTGTCCTTTTGTATGAACCCAACATTCTCATAGTCACCTGCTTGTTGTGCAACAAAGTCCATAATATGACTTGTCCTCATATCAATGTAATGCATTGCATAGCCTTGTGCCTTGTCGGTACTCATAACATTCCTATGTGAGTGAAGAAATTGAACACCAAGAGGCCCTACGCTGTTTGAAAATTTCATTCACTTTATATTTTAAAGTACTCCGATTGTATTTGATACGGAAAAAAGTATGACAACCAACCCTAGTTAATTATTTTGGTTCTCTTTTACGTTCTTCAACCTCAAGGTATTTAGATTATCTATGTCATTCTTTTGAGCAAACCCACTTCCTAGGTATGACCATATTACTCTTGTCTTTATACAACTAATCCCTTTGAATACTAAAGCCTTTCACCTTAGCATACGAATTATAAAATCTTTCTCTATTTCATCTGAATCAAATGTTATTTCAAACACATCTTTTTCTATTAATTCATCTAGACGCTTAACGTCTCTTTTCAGTTAGGAGATCATTATAATTGATGATATCATCTTCATTACACTTACCATCATTAGCATCATCATCATGATCTAATTCATATATAATGTTATTCTTATTTTGCTCGATGTTGTCTTCCA